TCCAGGCGTACGCCCGCCGGCCACACGTGCAAAGCAGACCTACAGCGCTGGGTGCTGGCAGGATCACTGTGCCTCTTTGTTCCGGAGCTTTCCAGCAGTGCTGGGGGGGGGTCCTTTTCAGGGAGCTTGAGATTTACAGGGAGGGGGGAGGAGAGGGGGCCTGGACAAGGGGTGGCAGCATGGGCATGTGGCAGGGTACAGGGTGGGGGGGGTATGGCGCTGACCCTCGTTATCCTCATTCAACAGAATGAGTGACGCAGGAAATACCAATTCATAGTCTTATCATACAGTTATCGCCCCCTATTGCCCATAAAACTGAATTAATATGGAAGCACATTTTTAAGTTTTAAGTTCCTTAAAGTTTTATGGGTCATTTTGGCAGCGTAGAGGGTGGGTAGAGTGTTTTTGTTAAGGGGGTAGAAAAGGGGGGGGGGGGGGGGACGTCTTGATTGTTTGCATTGTATGTACACTTTCTTATTCTTTGCAATAAAAAAAACTTTGAGGAGTATGTCCCGCTCAATGCTGACTGTCATCCCTGTGTTTGTTACCCTCAGAGTTTAACTTCGCCCTCTACCCTCCGTCCATGATCGCCACGGGCAGCGTGGCCGCTGCCATTTGCGGCCTGCAGCTGGACAGCGTGGACCAGGCCCTGCGGGGGGACAACCTGACGGACCAGCTAGCTAAGATCACCAACACGGAAGTGGTGAGTAAGCAGGGAGAAGTGGGCCGTGGGCTGTAGGTGACGCAATGGGCACCTTTATTAATTGCACGGGTCTGGGGTAGCTTTCTGGACAGTTCTTGGGCTGCTGGGTTACTATAGAGATGATGAACGGGGCAGGTTCATCTCAGTCCGGTAGGTTCTGCCCGTCCCGCCCAGCACGTGCAGCCGGGAGCAGCACAAAGTCTCAAAGCCAGACTGCCAACCGCCCCGGGGTCTGTCGCTGTCGGAGTAGTCTCCAGCCCAGCGGCCAGTTCCCGCGCAGGACAGGACATCGGGGTGAGACCTGGGCAGGAACGTCTGTACCAAGTCCCGTTAAACCACCAAACCTAAACACGACCGCGGAGGTTGCCGGGCCCGACTCAGGGAATGTGCCACGCCTTCCCACAATCCCGCCTGTTTGTTTGGGAGGGAGAACGCACTCTCACTCTCAGTTCATGTCGAGGGATAGGTGTTCCTTCACAGGCGACGGCCCAGCCCAGAGGAACCCTGCACAGTGATTCTTCATCAGACTCCATAGCAGTGAGGCAGCAGTGTGGTTGCCAGGGTTACACTTCGGTCTGCAGTGCCAGTGTATGCATGTGTGAGGCAGCAGAGGTGTCGCCTGCGGCCGGCAGCCCACATTTCATCGGGGGGGTGGGTGGGGGGG